CCCCTTCACCCTTTCTTGAATAGTCAACATCATCTCTCGTTTCCTTTATTGCTTTCTTTCATAATACCCCACGCTATCTATTGCGAATGCGTTGAGTTCTCGGGAGGTCTGTTTAGGCTTGCTCTTAAGGGCGTGCGACAATCAAGCTCAGTGGTTCATGCAAACCCTTCTGAGGCTATAACCTGATTTACAGCGCGGCGAACCATGAGCACTCACAATACAGCAGATGGCGCGATTGATGATTCGCAAAGTGCTTCTGGCGAACTGGCAACCGCGCATGACCGGTCTTGTATAGCCAAGAGTGCAGTTCCTTCGATCTCCAGCACGCATTCGAGGTCGCTTTCCTCGACTAAGGTTGTCTCCTCGGTTCCAACAAATCTCCTGCCTTCAGCGCCTGAATCACCCCCTACTCCAGCTCCGAGTCCGACCCCTCATCAAAGATCTCCGACTTGGCGGGCAGCCGTAGAGGAAGAGGAAGAGGACGTATTGCTGAACACTCAGGTGTACTTTAACTCTTTGAACAACGCCAAAAAGCAAAAATTTCTCGAAGGACTCCTGGATCTATGTGATCCTCAACAGCTCAGCTTCGTTTGGAGCTTTGTTGTTCCTCGTTTAAGGAAAGACCCATTCCAGGTCTTTCCGAATGAGCTATGTTTAAGGGTATTTCTACCATCTTTCTAAGCTCCCGACCTAGCTGCTGAAGCCTTGCTGACCCGTATGCTTCTCACTTAGGTTCTTTCGTTTATTGATGACCCGAAGACTTTAGCGAGAGCATCACAAGTTTCGAAGCGATGGCGCGAACTCTTGAACGATGACATCACCTGGATGAATTTGTGTGAGAAGCATTCCTATGCCTACCAGCGGCCTTCGGATGACGATCGAGATCTTTTGGGCCATTTGGATAGCCAGCCTCTGCATGCTGCATCCGACACTCAATCTTTTGGCGGATTCCGAAGCAGGTCTACGGTGTCCAGCCTTCAATCTCGGGACGGTTTTCCGGGACTTCCGCGATCTCTATCCGGGGACTGGCTCTCCTCATCGAGCTGCTCTTCACGGAAACGGCGAGTCAGGCCTGTGTCATACAGGTCGCATTTCAAGCAGAGATACATGGTTGAATCGGCGTGGAATAAAGGTGGACGCTGCACACAAAGGCATATGAGTCCTGACCAGGGAGTTGTCACAAGCCTCCATCTGACTTCGAAATACATCGTGGTTGCGCTCGACAACGCCAAGATTCATGTGTATGATACCAACGGAGACAATCAGAAGACCCTCCAAGGCCATGTTATGGGCGTTTGGGCTATGGTCCCATGGGATGATATTCTTGTGAGCGGTGGCTGCGATCGAGAAGTCCGAGTATGGAACATGGCCACAGGGTAAGCTGTTCCGAGCAAGTTTATGCAGCGTATATTTCTTATTTGGTACTGACAGCTGGTTCACCTTAGGGCGGCAATATACCTTCTCCGTGGTCACACGTCTACCGTGCGCTGCTTGAAGATGTCGGACAAAAACACGGCTATCTCCGGCTCACGAGATACGACACTACGAATCTGGGATCTCTCTACAGGTACTTGCAAGAATGTCTTGGTTGGACATCAAGCAAGTGTTCGTTGTCTGGCCATACATGGTGATCTGGTCGTTTCCGGCAGCTACGACACCACGGCGCGCATCTGGAGCATATCTGAAGGCCGCTGTCTGCGAACTCTATCAGGTCATTTTAGCCAGATCTATGCGGTTGCATTTGATGGTAAGCGTATCGCAACAGGCAGCTTGGATACCACTGTGCGAATGTGGGATCCTGAAACCGGACAATGCAATGGCATCCTGCAGGGTCATACATCCTTGGTAGGACAGTTACAGATGCGTGGTGATACGTTGGTCACTGGAGGTTCCGATGGCGCAATACGGATATGGTCGCTGATCACGAATACGCCTATCCATCGACTGGCAGCGCATGATAACAGTGTGACAAGCTTGCAATTTGATAGCTCGCGTATTGTTAGCGGTGGCAGTGATGGTCGTGTCAAGATCTGGAGTTTGGCGACTGGTCAGCTATTAAGAGAACTGTCTACTCCCGCTGAGGCTGTCTGGAGAGTCGCATTTGAGGCAGAAAAGGCCGTTATAATGGCAAATAGGTCAGGTCGAACAGTCATGGAGGTGAGCACTTAGTCATTTTGCACTGACAGAAATAAGTTCTAATTGCATTAATAGGTCTGGAATTTCTCGGCACCGTCCGAGGACAGCGGGGACGAAGCCGCGATTGAAAGTACTGCTAGCACGCCGGGTCCTTACTCAAGTCCAGTTGAGAGTCGGCACCGAGAGCGCTTCTCCGATCCGCCTCCCACGCTGTCGACAAGTAATGATAACGATCATTCAATGGTGGATGCCCCGTTGTCTTGATGACGATGTGACTGGCCTGATGATATCATGAGCACGCTTAGCCCCTACGTCTCACATCATCTCAAGCGCCTTCAAGTGTATCATTTGATGTTGGCGCCTGATACATACATTTCGACTCGTGGGTATAGGTAGCGCAACTAAAATCGACACAAGGCCAATTGCGGCCAGGTATCCTTCTATATATGCATTCTGGGTGTTGGGTAGGACATATTGCTTGGATCATGGTTTTTTTTTTTCTTTCGAGCCCGCTGGAAACGTGGTGTGGAGTTTTACATGTGGCAGTTGGGGTTCTTCTTGTGCTGCTGGAGTCTCAGAGAGGAATAGCCCCAGCGATGTTCCATGCTTTTTATGTTTGTCTTGTGTTTCAGTTTCTAAACGAGGGTTAGACGATACCTGTCTTGGGACGATTTATCCAAATCTACAGAAGATTTTGTGCTAAGCGCTGGGTGTCTCGGATCGACCCCCAAAATTAGGCCTGATTGTATTAAGGAGCCCATCCAAAGGTTGATGTGGTCACCTGACTTACTCCTCTAGAGGCAGGGATCAAATCCTCCCATTGAGAGGATGCCTGTACTTCCACTAGCAGCGTTCTCCGCATCATCGCAGGCGCTAATGGCACTCTTCGACCTGCGCAGCACAGATAGGCTATGAACCTAGCGAGAGTTCAAGGCTGCGTGGCCGGAATCATCATCACTCATTGATTTTACAGGCACACCTCTATACATGAAGACTTCTGGCTGTACCCTGCGATTCACATGGGCAGTACCCCTCCAAAAGTAGCCGACTATGGTATACGGGGGCAAGCCTAGTACAGGCTGCTACCTGTGTCGCAACCGGAAGATTAAGGTAGGACAACAAACTCACATTGGTGGTATAAGCTATTTAGTGGCTTATTCATGTTTACTGTCCGGTTGGTCGCATTTCAAGCTAAGCAGCTCCTAGTGTGACGAAGCCCATCCTGGATGCCGCAACTGCGCTGTCTACGGACGACCGTGTCCCGGTTACAGGCCAGACACGATCTTCAGAATTGAGACGGGTAAAGCAAAAGGGTCTCGGAAAGGCAGCAAGCCTCCCTCCGCTCGCAGTATCCGTGAGATAAATCTAGGCGACCAACAACGCACGTCATCTGTGTCCGTCTATCGATTGTCCGATTCTCCTTGGAAGGAACGGGCAGTGTGCTATTTCTTCGACCAGTACACGTCCTGTGACAAGCCCGATGGTGGTAGCCATTTGGGATTTATCCCGACCTTGTATGCGGGCTGTGGTCAAGACGCCACACAACCAGCTGCATGTCTGCGTTTCGCGGTTGATGCTGCAGCCTTGCTCACTCTGGGTAATCAGGTCAAGGCGTCATCGCTGGTCACGCAAGCGAGGCAAAGGGTTGCCCTGTCGGTGCAAAGATTGCGCCAGGCATTGGACTCGCCCGTCGAACGGGTGACAGACAATACCTTTGCAGCCATGGTTATTCTTGCTCTCTTCGAGGATATTTCAGGAGAACGGAATGGGCTTGCTAGCTCCCATACTGTGGGCTTTGAGGCCCTCATGAAGCTGAGAGGCGAGAGTTTACTCAATGAGCAGGGGCTGGATTTGTTCAAATTTGCCTATGTTCATACGGTAAGTTTACTACTAATCCTGCCGTGACACTTTTGCGCACTGGTTCCGAATCGCGGCGATATGTTGACCACGATACGACTTGCAGCGCATCGAGGCTCTGCTTCTACGGCAGAAACCACGGTTCAATACGCAAGACCTCATCATGCGACTCAATCCTACTGACCCCTTGCAACGCCTGATGATGATCGTGAACCAGCTTGATCCAGTGTCCCTCGAAATTCCCTTCACAGCAGACGCCATCGATCCTGCTATCATTACTACTCTTGCCTCGAGGATTGAGTTTTGTAGGACTTTGGATTCGGAATTGGCTGCTTGGAGCCAGAGCCTGCCGACAAGTTGGCTTCCTCACGCTTGCCATTCACATAGCGGCGAGGATGTCCTGACGTACCAAGGGAAATTCTTAGCGTCGACGTGGTCCCACTACCATGCTGTTCGCATATTGCTGCAACTGACATTACTTGATCTACTCCAAAATCTTGCCTCCATCGTGTCATCGAACGGGATTCAGCGAGAGGCAATCCGACAAGAAGCGGAGGGATCACGGTTGATCCAGAGCTTCATCAGCGATACGTGCCGCGCGCTTTCATTCTCCTTCGGGGAGATCGATCAGCTAGGCAACCCGTTAATATCGCAGGGGGCATCTCAGATCCGAGCGTTTAATGTCTACCATATGATTTGGCCTCTGTGGTACATCTTGACGTGCGGTCATGCGACTCCTCCCCAGGCCCAGAAAATCCGGCGGGCGCTCGCAGAAAAGGGTTCCGAGGCCGGGATCAAGTTGGCAGTTGTGCTTGCTGGCGTAGGGAGTTGGGAGACGGTGCCTTCTATGCTAGGATCTATTTCGCCGAGTGGTGAGGGGCACACTGTACTGACTGACGCGGGTGTACAGGATTGATGGTTGCTTCATCGATAAACCCTTCCAGCTGAACTCAGTTCAAGTATGAGAATGTGTGTCTCGTAAGGGTAATGGAGTGAGCTCAGCTGGGACGCAGGTATAGCTCAATTTGTGTATATGATTCTTGCATAGTCAACTAAGTATAAGTGCATCCGCAATGGACTCGATATAAGGCGGAAGTTCCCGTTCCGGTAAGCCACGGATGTCCTGACGTCATGGTCAGTGATCTCGAACAAACGGAGACAAGCAGCAAAGATACATACACAAAAGAAAGAGCAAATCAATTCGACACAAAGCCTAGATCTACCAGTGCAGGAGGCCGCTCGGCTGCTCGGATGGGTTCCAGCATGCAGGATGGATATGCCGTCGCCCATGCCGGTTTAGCCGATCTGGTTGCAGTACGGAGTAGTTACGGAGTAGTGCCTGATTCCACTGACTTCATGGCTTGCTGCTGCTGCTGCTGGCGCTGACGACATGTTACCCTCCAGGGTTCTATTTAGGGGCCGGCTTCTAGCCCACATGAGCTTGTTATAAGTTTACATCTACTCTTTTCGCTCTCGTTATAGAAATTGTTGACTTGATTGATACCCTTCTTGGTTCTCCCTCCCCTCTCTGGGCTTGATTTTGGTGCTTCTATAGATAGATACAACCGTTACAACACACTCTTCCCCATTCACTTTCCCTGCTCCCAACACACAATTCACAATCCACAGCAATGGCTATGCAAGAACGCAAGCTTCCCTTTGGGAAGATTGAGCCCAACTCGGCTAAGTATTTCGCCAGCTGCACGCTCGGAGGCATCGTCGGTACGTTCAATTCTGCTATCTCCAATTGATCCTCGCACTTGACCTGAAACTAACTTGGACTTCTTCTGCAGCCTGTGGTGAGTGACATTTCTCCCAACTCCATTCCGACCATATCCGAATCGCCTCTCTACAGGAAATTTGCAGGAACTTTTAGACGAGAATGACAATTTACTAACATAACAACTACAGGACCTACGCACACCGCAGTGACACCGCTTGACCTGGTCAAATGCCGCCGGCAAGTCGATCCCAAAATCTACACCTCCAACCTGTCGGCCTGGCGCTCGATCATGGCCAAGGAAGGCGTGCGCGGGGTCTTCTTCGGCTGGACGCCGACCTTCCTCGGCTACTCGCTGCAGGGCGCCGGCAAGTACGGCTTCTACGAGTACTTCAAGTACCTGTACGGCGACCAGCTCTTCCCCAACTCCAACCGCACCGTAGTCTACCTGGGCGCCAGCGCCTCGGCCGAGTTCTTCGCGGACATGATGCTGTGTCCGATGGAGGCGATCAAGGTGCGTATGCAGACCACTCTCCCGCCGTACGCGCACAGCCTGCGCGAGGGCTGGGGCAAGATCACGGCCAAGGAGGGCATGGCGGGCCTGTACAAGGGCCTGTACCCGCTGTGGGCGCGGCAGATCCCCTACACGATGACCAAGTTCGCGACCTTCGAGGAGACCGTCAGGATGATCTACAAGACGATTGGGAAGCCCAAGGAGCAGTGCTCGGGCGTGCAGCAGACCGGGGTCAGCTTCCTGGGCGGCTACATTGCCGGCATCTTCTGTGCGATTGTCAGTCATCCGGCCGATGTGATGGTCAGTAAGCTGAATGCGGATCGCAAAGGTGAGTTCGTCGTGTGATTCCACCCGCTTTTGTTGTTGTGGTGATGTTTGGAGACTGATTGTTCCTGGTAAATGTATAGCTGGCGAGGGCGCGATGACGGCGGTGTCGCGGATTTACGGCAACATTGGATTCTCGGGCTTGTGGAATGGCTTGCCGGTTAGAATTGTCATGCTTGGCACCTTGACTGGGTTCCAGTGGTTGATGTGAGTATCCAAGAATCTCTCTTCCTCCTTCCTCTTTTCGGCGCATTTTGTGTCAAGGTGAGCTGGAATGGCTGACGCTGGTTTAGCTATGATTCGTTCAAGGTGTTCCTTGGTTTGCCGACTACTGGTGGACATTAGTAGACTGGGATGTAATGAGTTCTTATGACTAGCGTTGATTTCTTTGTAATTCCGCGGCGTTATAGTCAGGAGTTTGAGAAGTATGTGATAACAATGCTGTTAATTAGACGAGATGATTGCTTTTGGGATAAGAATGAGTTGTAGGAACGAAAGTAGGCATAGCCAGCGCTGACCGCTCTGTATAGTCGGTCGGCAGAAACACCGCTGCGATCCTGACTTCGTCTTCTCGGTGCTTCGCCTTCGGCTCTTAATCTCTCCTTCTTTTCAGCTTGACATCGTCTCTCTTACCGTGATTGCTCTGCTCAGACCGGCTTCGTGCGGTGCTGGATTTTCATTCTCTGTCATATCATCGCCCCATCGTCGACAGCATCACTCATTGACTGTTTTATGCCGTTCAGGGCAGAAAGATTAAGGCCTCTCTAGATTCGCATTGCCGGGCTCACATACAGCGGCTTCCGGTGCCCCTTGACCGGAACTTTCCAATTTTGCTGACGACTACCTCCGCTTAAGGCGATAACTTCTCCTCAACTGATTAACTCAATCGACGATCTCCATCGAATCTCTTTCGATTCAATTTCCGCCTTCCTACCTTCCTCATTCAGCCTACAAACCCACCTCCACCCACATCAATCACCCGCAATCAGTGTCTCCTCATCCCCATCGCTCAGACCTTTCCCCAGCCTCCACCCCACAAAACGATTCACAATGGAAGACACCACAGCCCGCCCTTCAGCTGCCACCACCAACCCACCCAGCGTGGAAAACGCCTACAAGCGCAAATGCCTCGCTCTCAAGAAGCGCCTCAACGAGATCGAGGACGAGAATGAGCTGATGCGCGTCCGCAACCGTCGCGGCTGGCAGTATATCCAAAAGATGCGCCTGGAATCATGTATCTTGCTCGAGCGCCTGGCCAAGGTCACCGGCATGACCGAGGAGGCGTCCTCGCAGGCCGGGGCCGCCGCCAACCCAGAACTCCGGGCGCGCGCCGCCGCGCTGATGAGCAACACCTCGGCCCTGAATGGGCTGACGGCTTCGTTGGAGGGCAAGAACGGCGCTGGTGGAACATATCTGGATGACGAGACGGAGGGGAGCTCGGATGAGCAGCCTCCCACTGTGAGTTGATCCTTTTCCTTGTGTCTATCTGTGGTATGTGGGTGTGCTTTGTGGGGAGAAAAGCCTGAACACATAGTTGTTCCGGTGTCCGCTTCGGATTTGACTGCAATTGACTAACTCGTGATGAATCGATTGTTCAATTTTTCAGCCCCAAGAACGACCTCTGCGCGTGAAACGATCCCGGAAATCCAATCTCCCCGACGGCGCCGGCGGCGACGATGAGAACAGCACCGCCGCCGCCGGTGGTAGCAATCCCACCGACAACAATACCGACAACGGCGCCCTGCCGCGACTAGCTCCCGCCCCTTCTCAGGACGACCTGACCTCCTCCTTCCGTCTCCATGCCGAGAGCAACGGCCAGCACCCAGAGTCCGCTGAGCGCGGGACAAGTCAGAACCCGGAATCCGACTCGAGGAAACGTCGAGCCTCGAACGCCGCTGCCCCAGCTGCAGCTGCCGATAATGACGCCGCGGCCGAGGGAGACGAGAATGAGAACGAGGGCGGTGATGCATCAGTAGAACCTTCGTCTACGCCAATGGATCTGGACGCCAAGGAACCTAAGGATGAGAGTTAGGGCTCATTCGATTCTACTGCTTTTTTCTCTCTCTACATTCCACCCTCTCAGTCCTGAGTTTGGATCAATCTGCCCCTTCTCCCCCTCCTTTTTCCCTGTGGTGTATAGATAAGGATGTTGGGGGGAACATAGGTCCCGACCAACCCTGAAAGGAATCCAAACAAAAAGTTTCCAGAGACCATTCCCCGTGGCTATTATATTCTCTTTTCTACTGGAGCCTTTCTGCTTTCCTTTCTTCTTCTGTTGTCAATTGTGGGTGTTGCATGCGGTGAAACGTTGATTCTGGATTCGGAAACCTGGAGCTTGTTATTTCTTATTTTTATTCTTCTTCATCGTGCTGGGACAGTCTTTCTCCCTACTGACTTGCTCAATGACCTATTTATCTACTCACATACCTCCCTCCCTCCGCTACCCAGCGAAAACCTCTTCTTATCTGAATTTCCTCTCCCTTTCAATGAAATCCTCCTGGTTCGTTTTCTCGGCCAAAAAAAAACGGATCAGAGTACGTACCTACCTAGCCAGGTCTTCTCTCGTATATGCGTGTGCAAACATTTCCTCCCTGAGGGTAAGAGTTGGGTCGGGCAACCTTTTCCCCGTATCTGCGGAGAGGAAGTACTTATGATGGGGGATCATCACACTCTGGTACAAGTCGCAGGGGACTCCGGCGTCGGGTTCATTACAGTAGTTTTCTGGTGCGATTGTCAGGGACAAAAACGAAACGAACATCACTAATATAGGTATTGAGTTCTTCAAAAGAGAGATTTTTGGTCAGCGCCTATCATACTAAATTTTTCGTTCAGATATATTATAGATGATCATGCCGTAGGAAAATTGTCTATACCTATTGTAAGACAGGTGAAGGGGTGTAGAGGAAACATGCTACTACCTCATCATAATACCCAGGGAAGGGGGGATAGATGACACCATCACCACCACTAACAACACAACTACCACACATCCTCATAGTCGTCACAAAGCACGATCGAACCGAAAAGGTCATTTCATTTTCAGATGAATAAGAACAGAACCAGATGGAACGCTGATAAGGCTAGGGCTATGCATAAACCATATTCCGATATGATGCAAGATGGACAGACTCCCCCCCCCCGCTTCTCCTAACTAGAAAAAAGACAAAATGATTACAGCATTTATACCCGTTCCCCGATCTCATTCAACACCTCCTAAGCGCCTCGGAAAGCACAAAGAGCTAGAAGCAAGAAGCAAAGAACAGAAACTCCATCTGGTACGGACAAATGCAGATCATGAATTCCTGTGGGAACTCAATGAGTCGAGCAAAACTGTCTTAATTATGGAAGAAAGACAAGGCAGAAGACTCCCAGGAAAAATGAATGTGTTCCATGCACCGCGAGCAAAAGTAACACACGCTTATTCCACGCCGGCGTAGAGGTCGACCAGAATATTAATAGCCGCGACAAGAATTTCAGCGGCAATCAACACGATAACTATAACAAAAATAGGTGGGTTAGAAAGGTTAAATGCGAGGGGGAAACCGAAAACACATACCGATCCACTCAAGATACTCACCATGACGGTGAGTTAATTGATCCTTCAACACGGCAAGCAGATCCGCGATGACGTCTAATCGCTCCGTTAAAAGACCAACTCGCTGGTCCATCTCAAGATAACTCCGCACGGCCTGGTAAACAGGCTCCAGTTGGGGCTCTGCCCACATCAGTTCCGGACTGTCAAGGACGGAGCCTTGAAGATGAATGTTGATTCGCAGAATGAACAGTTCTCCGACCTGCATGTTGATCTGGCGACGTGTAAGATTAACGCTGCCTGTCTGAGCAATCTGAGCCGGAAGCGGTGCGGTGTTTGAGATTGTCTCGGAGACGAGGTCTTCAAAGAGGGACGTCTTAACGGACTGGGCGAGGGCGTGGGAAATGGCGAGCTTGATCATGTAGTTTCGTGGGTCACGGAGGGAGATAAAATCGTTGTATATGCGGGCTTGATATTCGCGAGCATAATAGAAATTGAAGTTCTCAACTTGCGTGTCTTCGGGGCTGAGGATGGAGGTCGCAAATTTGGAGATATCAGACAAGAATCGTGATTCGTGCGCGGGGGACATGCCCCATATGACGACTGTGCCGTAGTCGAAGAGGAACACCTCCGGGGTGTGGATATTGGTGTCAAAGTCAGGAGCAACTTCTGTCGGGGGTGCGGATGTGGTGGATTCAACCACAGCGCTTTCGTGGTCATTCTGTTGGTGGTGAGATTCCGAGTCTCTCAAATCAATGAGGTCTTCACGTCGAGTGTTTGTGTTGTCTTGTACTTCGACAACACTGTCAGAGAACCGGCGTTCTGCAGAAGGACGTATCGGCGGTTGTGGTTGCGTTGAATGCACGCCATTGTTCAGTGGGTTCCACGTGCCTCGTTGCTTTGCTTCATAGTCGTAATCATATGAAGAGTAGACGCACTCATCGTAGAGCTTCGGATTGGCTCCGCGGGTCTTTGCGCGAGACTTGAGAAACCGAACCACGCCTTCCAGACGATACGAATTGGCAGTACAATAGGCTGTGACGCGGGGCAATCGCTCTCGATCCGCCTTTCCTAGACTTGCAGCATGACTGCGGGCGGTCGGTTCCTTGATGCGGGCGATCTGCGAGTAGACGTCGGAGGGAAAGTCGCCGTCGCCCAGCTCTTCTTCAGTGACCGGATCAGGCAAGAGTTTCAACTTCTGCGCGTTTTTTGTCGTTCTCTGTGGTCCGACCTTGGAGGCTGTAGCAAATGGGGCACCGGCGGTGCTGAAGGGTGCTCCATGGCTGTTGCGGCGGCGGAGCTTGCTGTTTAGAGCCGACAAGCCAGTCGATCGGGGCTGGCCAGCGGTTTGGGAGTTGGGAGCAGGATAAGAACCAGAATGCAGCGGTCTGAAGGTCGGATCTGTGGCGGTCGTATCGTGATATGTGCTGACAGTGGTCAATGGATTGAATGTCACCGTCCTGGAGGCTCGGTTTCCTCGCGGTGACGTATTGGTGGAGGAAGGCGGTTGATGTTGGGGAAGGAGGGGTGAAGATTCTGTGACGGAAACCATGGTGGGTATTGAAAAGGATAGAGAAAACTGCGCAGAGCAGATCCTGTTGGATTGGGCTTGTATAGGGAGGAAGGCACGTCACCGAAAATGGTGGGGAGGCCGTTGGTGAAAGGGAAGAAGTTTAGGAGTAAAGAGAAAATGAAGTCTGGCGGACGGGATCCCCGAGAGCTCCAAGCTTTCCTTCCCTTCCTTTCCACGTGCGCCCGTCCGACGCTGCCATTTTCTGCCCATCAACAACATGACTTTTCACCAACAGGAGTGGGAAATCGGGTGTGAAAGGATGTTGTAATTCTCGGCAGCGGGGCTCGCGCATAATGTCTAGCAGAAGCAATTACAGGTCGGACGGATTGAGTCCAAAAAGAAAGCATACAGGTGCCAGGTGGGGTTCGCGCATCTTCAAGCTTGATACCTGCAGATTGGCCCGGCGCAATTTCTCGAAGATCGGATATCTCTCCTGTGGCATATAATTTCAATTCGGATGGTCGATTTACATAGCTAGGGAAAAAAATCCGTAGTCTCTGTCTTGCATGGATAATCCAGATCTTTGACCCAATATGGACGATACTGAAAGATATAAGGTGCCCCGGACTCATCGCCGAACTAAGAGCAGAAACCAAGCCAAAATATAGACAGGAAACAGAACTTAGGATGTGCTTTTGATATCATTAAAAATGCTTACTACGAGACGGAGTTAAGTGCGCCCAAGACCTGCTATTTGCGCACAAACCCCGAGGGAGCGCCGGCCGCTCTTCTCATCCCGTTCACCTTGCCCGTGCTGCGACCTGCACTCAGCCAGACTTGTCTCGCGTTCTGACTGCTCTTCGTCGCCTTGGGGGGAAGCGTGGTCTTCGACTTCTTGTTCCGGGATACATCTCCATCCAGCACCCGAATTGTGACATCGCCCATCTGCAGGTCCTTCGGGGCCTTTTCCTTCTTGTCCAGGAATCGCAGCTTCGTGGGCTTGGGTCGCACAATCCTCATTTCTTCTGCGGGAGGGGTCGGTGGCCGGACATCGGGGGCGGCGTTCAGGATATCATCCGGGAGAAGAGCGGGGAGAGCAGACCTCCGGGCACTTTCTGTCGTGGTACCCTGAAGGGTTTCGGTGCTTTCTGATAGCTGATCCTCAGCCTCTCGCTTCTTGCTGGTCGACTTGGCTTGAAGCTTGCGCAGGTCGTCCAGCTGTTTCCTCTTGTCGCGCTTCAACTGCTCTTCTCTGTACCATAGTTAGAACTGAACCGAAGTGATAGATTTCATACGGGAACACGAACATTTGCTTGGCCCTTTCCTGTCTCTTCGCCTCCATCCGAATCTTCGACAATTGCGCGGAATTATCAACAGCCTCAGGAGCCTCATCGTCGCTGCTATCCTCCTCCTCCTCTAAACTCTGTGGCGTCTCCGCAACCTCCGCCATCGCAGGCACTTCCGGCTCCTCGCTATCGAATCGGAAATGCTTCTTTTTGATCTGCTGGGGGGCAGCGACCGGTGTCTCCTCCTGCTCATCCTCCTGCCCTTCAGTATCGTTAGTACCCTTCACCGTCTTCGACTTCTTATTACTAGGACTCGTAGCCATTTCGTCCTCGGATTCCAGCACAGCCGCTAAGCTGCTCCGCTTCCTGCGTTTCGTGTTGCTCTGCGTCTTGCGTGCGTTGTTGTTCTCCGCATCGGTGGAAGGCTCGGACGTGCGCTTGCCGTTGCCGTTGATCTTCGCTTCGTTGACCGAGCCAATACCATTGGCTTCAGGCTCCGCAGACGACTCGGCGGTAAATCTCCGCTGTCTAGTGGCTGTAACCATCTTGGGCGTCGTCGTCGTAGTAGTAGGAGTAGTGACTTGCTGAATACTAGCAATGGCGCTAGCGCTCTTGTCCGCTGCGAGTCTGGGTTCGAGAAATGTAGGTTGCGGGTTTTTATTATCGGATCGAGTGAAAAGCCCCTTCGCCGCCGTTACAAACTGCGACAACATAAGGTAGTAGAAAAAGCTTCGATAGAGGGGGCGGGCGCGCAATGGGAAAAAAATCTCCCCGGATCTCCAGGCCCGTTTGCAGTGGAGAAATGTTATTGCGTTCGCGCTGTACGGACTTTTTTCTTTTTTCTTTTTTTTCTTTTCTTTTTGGTACTAATTTTTCGGACTAATTTTGGAATCCTGCAAATTGTATCGGTGGGGTTGTTTATCCGAGGCGGTGGGGGTTCGAGGTCGGAAGCAAATGTGGGTCCCTTGTATACCAGTGTGTAGTAGTGGGTTAATGCTCTGCAATACTATCCTTCTTGACTTTAATAATAAATTGCAAATCGAATGGAAATATTCTTCTCCCAAGGGGTTTCGTGGAATAGTATATATCTGAGATCATATACAAGAACCAGTAAGAACATCTCCACAGGTTAGTAAAGTGATAACGCCAAACCATGCAGTGAGTATCACCGTAAACATGCACCAGAAACCATAAAACTCCCATCAACCATATCCCCCCCAAAAAAACACCAAGTACAAAGACCCTGAAACAAATGAAGAGACACACTCGCAAACCATCACCACCACCATCACCAATAAGACAGACATCACCTCGCCTGCACCATCTGATTCCGCTCCATCAGCTCCTCCTGCGCAGCCAAAAAGTCATCCTCTCCAATCTCACTCGCCTCATCCCAGAACTTCCCATGCTCGTCACCATCATCCCCACTGACCGTCCACATACTCTCACGGAGTCGCTTGTTGCGCTCTCGGTCCTCCTCAATCCGCTGCTCGATCTGTCGCTTATCGACCCGGCCACGCGCACCACGCGGCGTCGCACCCTTAGCCCTCGCATCGCCGCCGCCCCCGCCGCCCGCCCCCGTCGCTCCGACCCCTCCGCCCTCGCCACCACCGCCTTCTTCCTCCCCTTCGAGATCCAGATGCGCTGTGTGCGTCTCCCGCTCCTTCAGCCCCGCATCGATCTCCGCCACCGTCGCGGCCGACAGAATCTCCTTTGATTGCAGCCCGTTCAGCACCCGCCGCACATGCTTGACATTAGCCGCGCCGGAGCCGTCCGGGGGCGCCACCGCGTCGACAATGCGGATGATGTCGCGCTGGATCATGCGGACGTAGGGCGCGTGGTCTTCCTTTGTGGCCATCTCGCAGAATTGCTCGACGAAGTACATGATATTCGCGCGGTTGTTCATATTGTTCTGGTTTGTCAGGCAGGGGTTAGAAGATGAGAGCATGCGAGGTTGTGGGATCATGGAGAGGGAGGGTACTGGGGTGTAGCACGCAGCAGCACAGGGCGGGGCGCAGCAAAGAAGATGCCCATTATGGGAACATAGTGTAGACGTACTCGCTCTAATTGTTCAAGGATGCACGAGTGGAGGTCCTCGTCCATGTCGCGGTATTTCAACGCATAGTGCGCAGCCTTCTGAGATGAGGTGATGGAGGCGTTGAGGTGTTGCAGCTGCGCCGTAAAGCGCATCCGCACCTCGAACGGATCGACCATCATGGTGTCGGGTGGGTGGGAGGCCGAGATCCCTCAGCGGGCGAGTTTGGTGATCTGGGAGTGTGGACTCAGGGATTGGTGCTGAGCTGTTAGTCGGGCCGGCTCTTGTACGGCGCTGCACATACACAGTAAGTATATTCGAACTCGGCCGTTCGTCAAATTAGATGGAAGTCACTCCGCGCGCGGTGAGCGGAGCGGAAGTGCGGAACTACGGTAAGTAGTATATGCCGTGCTCTGCGTCTGCCGCTGGTCACCGCTTTGCAGGCGGTCTGCTGCCTAGAGCTGGAATCGCTCTTGACCCAACTTAGACTCAGGTCATAGATCTAACTATAAGAATTGATGCTATTCCTGTCTGGACGTCGTCAGTGATGATGCATTTTGCCTCCGACTTTCATGCAGGCATCGAAGTCTCCTACAACATTGAAGGAGGATGGAAAAATCAATACAGTATGATGACCAATGACCCTAAAAAGAATTATCGATTTCAATTCTGCTATGGCAGAGCATTTGGGTATATATCACAGAGACTCTTCAATGAAGCATAGACAATTAAATCAGCCAACGCCACCAGCCACAGCCGAGCCAACCAGACCAAGCGCAGCATCGAATAGTACATAATTAGAGCAAAATGTGGAGTGAATTATCAGAAGGTAGAATAGATGGAGCTCGTCCCCATCATTAAGCAAAACATGCCACATATCATAGTATGTCAATTTTTAAAAGATGACTTCTTGCGTCTCTCTAAAGAGATTGTCGCCGCTCGATGGAGTCGGCAAGGCTGGTTCCGTCGTCGCCATCAAGCAAGCCAACTTGCTCCGCTGTACTGGGCTGAGTGAATGTGCGCTCAAGTATGGTTTCGTCCTTGGAGTGTCCTGGCCCGCTGACTATCGACCAAACATCCTTCTTGGTAAGGAGGCCCTGGAGAACACCTTTGTTGGCGAACAGAACGTACCGCAGACCGAGTCTCTGGAACATCCGTAGGACGATGAGAAAGGTGGTGTTACTGTTAAGCGTGATTGGTGTTTGATCCATCCAAGGCCGGAGGTCAAGGGTCTCGCCTGGGTCTGCGAATGGTTGGTGGGTGAAGAATACCTGCGCTGTGCCCGTCAGATCATTATCTGACGGTGACGCAGCGTATTTCAGTGCGTAGGATAGCTCGTTGCGTGAGATATAGCCCAACAAGACAGGGGTTGACATGTCTGTAACAACCGGATATCCACGGTAGGACGTGGTCGCGAGAAGATTGCGGAGGCTGTCAATCGTATGCCCGACAGCAGTAATGACGGTAAGGTCATCAATGGCAGTCATTACCTTCTGAGCAGAAACATCGGGTGGAGCCGAATCGTCGCGATGATCGAGGAACGGGTATTCCTTCAACTGAATCCATGATTCGTATATGCCACGCTTCCCAAAGATGTCGCCACACCATTTAGACAGCATAACTGCTATCATGATGGGGATGACGTAGGTTAGAGCTCCAGTGAGCTCAAACATAATAACCACAATCGACACGGTCATCCTGGTAGCTCCGCCAAGGGCTGAAGCTGCTCCAATGATCGCGTATATCCCTGGGGTCACGCATTGTATGTCCGGCTCACAACTGCCAAAGAGGAAGAACTTTGGAAAAGCTTGTTGCCACATCCGGAAAACTATCCCAAGCGCTCGTCCATAGAGAGCACCAATGGCAATCGAGGGGAGAATTATACCAGCAGGAATATCTAAGCCAAAAGTTATTGATGCGAGGAAGAATCCAAGGAGAGCAGCGGACAGCAGAAGAGCAACTGTACTCGCTGACACAGCGCCGACCTTACAAAAGCCGAACGGGTCATCGGTGCCTGTGCTACATTCTGCAAATAGAGAATGCACGAGTTCTGAGTTCTGGGCTTTCATGAAGAGGTTTGGAAAGTTGATTAGTGAGCTCAGAAGAGCCACGGCCGACACCTCCAAGAGCGGTCTGGGGATCCTCTGTGATCGTCGCCATTCAGCGACTCTCATGTTCAATCGGATGAAAAAGGCCCCGTAAAGCCCGCCAACAATCCCGAGTATGATAAATGGTATTATCTCGAAGCGATGCCACCCCCGTGTGTACTTGACTTGGTAGAGAACAATGTTACCCGTGCGAAACGGGTCGAGCGCATGTAATGTCACGGAGGCTACCATAGCGCATACGAAGCTCTGCCACATAGTTTTATCGGGGAAATAGTAGCTCAGTTGCTGTTTGATCGTCAGATCGGCCCGGCTCTTGTTGAAGACCTACGAACTTACCTCCAAGCTGAACAAAACACCTCCAATGGGCGCCCCGAAGGCCACGGAGATACCGGCCGCGGCGGCAGCAGAGAGAACCTCTCGTTTCCTCGCTGCATAATTAGCATAAGTGAGACGATTCTCAATGAGGCGAATTACCTTCGTTGTGGTTAAGACTATGAAAAGGCTTCATGATCAAACTTGCGCAGCAACATGCGACGTGGACAAGAGGTCCCTCTTTACCGAGCCACATGCCAGATGCTACAGACAAGCACTGCCCAAAATCAGGAATTATTCTAGTTTTTGCAGTTTTTGTATATACGTACCAAGCCCAAAGATTTGATAGCGAGGGTCCAAGGCCCCATGAAATGTCTAATGACGAAACCGCCAAGGACGGTTTTAATCTCAGGAATTCCACTATGCTTCGCATAGATGGCGTATGTCCTGACCAGAGCACATGCGCATACGGCGAAGAACACCTGCGTCTTGAGTTAGCCTCTAACCACAAAGTCAACGACAAGGTGCTCCGTACAGAGTACAGAACATAGAAGACGTATTCGACTGTGTAGCCTCCACCACGTGAAGTAACCCCAAGGGCTTTCCTCCACGGCGTCCAATCCAAGCAATTATTGATATCTAACCAGCATGTCAGATTAGAATCAGTGGTTCCCCATCCATCGGCTAAGGTTGACTCACCGTCATGCCCCCAACAGCAGAAGCTGCGATTCAGGTAGAACCTGCCCCCTCCTGCCCCATTCTTGCAGTATCCAGTTTTAAGGTCCGCTAACCAGTCACTTGTGACATCGATGCAGGCAGCAATGATCCCAACCAGGATCCCTGTAGCGATCAACACGATCCAAACATTGCTTGCATCGAGGATCTTGCGCGCATACCCAACAACTCCCTGCCTGTTGGCGTAAAGCAGACGTTTTCTCTGACGTTCCTTTGTGTATTCGAAAATCCAGTCGATCGCCGTGAGGTCATCGTATCCTACTCGCCTTCCCGGCCCCTCCACATACCAGTCCAGAAAGCCCGCATCCTTATGATTCAAATTGCCGTTGCTGCTTGAAAAGTCGCGCGACGAGCGCGACTGGCCGTTCGCGGGGTGCCTGCTGTGATTCGAAGAACTGAAGTTGGTGTCTCGGGTTGATTCACCAGGAAATAGGCGCGAGAGGCTGAACCTGGAAGGTTGTTTTTGCTTGCGTTTGAATGTTATTCTACGAGCCCAAGAGATTAGCTTACATGACCGGAAGCATGATACTATCGAAACTTACGGTTCGCGTAATCCTTCGCTCAGAGAAGCACGAGAGCTCTCTGGAAGAGTGTTGTTAGATGGCGGTTCATTCCGCGAGCTGGGATCGTCGCTGTATGACTGAGAGGGAGAGGCTTGAGTCTGTACACCTGGCTGCAGGTGCGGCAAAGACATCGCGGATCAAAGTGTATTAAACGTATTTTGCGATATCAGTTCGCATCGCTACGAGCCATGACGTTGGCGCTTTTCCCCTGCGATAATATCCGTGCTTTCGATTAGATCCCGATAAGTGCTTATTGTCGGACTTCGATTCTCACCTCCGTGGCTGGGGCGAGGGCGGTGAACCCCTCCCCGTGTGGGGCCAAGGCGGAAGTCCGCCGGCAGAAAACGATCGCAAAGAAAAAAAAAAGTGCTGCAATGAGACGGAAGTTTGTATCCTTCACTTCTCCATTTAAATTCCATAACCAGAGTTCCTTTGGCGGTAGGGCTCAGCATGGACGCTAGACCTGCCTACGAGGGGACTCTTGATGAGTCCCGTTTATTTGCGAAGCTTCCGAATGAGATTGCGGAACTCATTCACACAGCGTCTGGGACACAATATCTGAATGCGCTTGCGGTTGGCGCATTGAGGTCCGGATGCACAGAAGGCTTCTTTTGCCTATATGAACCGATCTTTGTGGATTTGGCAGCACGATGGCTCTTCTCTGATTCTCAACTGGATCAAGTCGACATCCTTTCCGCATTCTCTCGAGTTTTACCGTTTGCGCCAAATCTCCGACCATTTGCAAGCCAATATGCCATTGCTCGGGCTGGACCTCTATCGGCTTTGGCTGCGTGTGATGAGCTGACCCTTTCACAAATCAATGATGCCACTATTCGAAGCCTTTTGTTAGCGATCTTCAGGCTTCTTTCCTATGACGCGGAAGTCTTCTCACAAGCCGTATCACCGTCCCAGCTACAATCGTTATTTCAACACCGCGATCGATCTGTCAGATACCTTTCCATACGATGCTTTTCCCTATACATGCGTGCAGCGGATGCTGCCTTGGAGGAACTGATCAAACGCCATTTTGCGGATGACATCATTGAGGGTGAATGGGAGGGTACCACGATCGACTACCGTTGTCTTGGTTTGTGGGAAGAACGTCGGTGGAACATCCTGAACAAGCAGGTCCAGCTCGCCAGGTCCAACAGGTCTACTGCCGATACCTTCTCTCAGATTGAAAAGCTCCGAGAATATTTCAGCCCCCGAACCGCCGAAATCTGCGGGGTATTGATCCCACGACAGAATGATACCTCTGCGCAACCATCCTCGATCGTGAAAACGCCTACCGCTGTCGGGAACCTGCGGAAAATCGCAACGGCGCTGACCTCTACTAGTCCTATGCTGCTGGTTGGTTTACCAAACTCGGGAAAAACGACACTGATCAACGATGTCGCCAGAACCATGGGTCAGGCGGAAACAATGGTGACGCTACATCTGAACGAGCAGACAGACGCAAAGAGTCTCTTGGGAATGTATTCGACCTCACCAGCTACTGGCTCTTTCGCTTGGCAACCCGGTGTCCTAACTAAGGCGGCGAGGGAGGGCCGTTGGATATTGATTGAAGATCTTGACCGCGCGCCTTCCGAAGTCATTGGTCTTATTCTTCCTATCATTGAGCGGGGAGAGCTGACCATAGCTAGTAGGAAGGAGAAGATAAAATGTGCAGAAGGCTTCAAGATTATTGCCACCATGAAGTCTTCATATAACATTGCAGGTGATGAGGTCGCCCCAAGCACCAATATTCTTGGGAGCAGGTTATGGCAACGTGTACAGATTGACTCCTTCACGATCGACGAAGTTCGAGAGCTTATCACGCAAAAATACCCCCTCTTGGAATCCCGGGTCGCCACTATCATGGATGTCTACCAGAGGTTATGCGCCTCCTTCCATGGAAGTCTGGCTATTAAGAGTTCTCAGGGACGCACTCCCGGTCTTCGTGATTTGATCAAGCTCTGTAGTCGAATGCATAGGCGACTTGAGCGCCTGGGGGCGAAAACCGGCTACGAAGCGACACCAGAGGGTGCCGAGGATGAAATATTCCTTGACGTCGTGGATGTATTCCTGAAATACATTCCCGACAAGTCACTCGCGGACTCCCTCGCCTTGGTTGTAGCTGAAGCTCTTCAGATTTCGCCGCAGCGAGCACGCTTCTGCATTCACGAGAGGACGCCTACCTATTCAGACCAAGGCAACAATCTCATTCTGGGGAGAGAGACCTGCCGCAAGATCAAGGTCCCGGCTGGGTCCCTTACGAAGGCTGCTGCCTCCTCGTCTCGCTTTGCTTCGACGCGGGCTGCTTTGGGGCTGATGGAGCAAGTTGCTGCTGCTGTACAGATGGCCGAGCCTGTTCTTCTTGTCGGCGAAACGGGTATTGGTAAAACCACTGTCATTCAACAGCTTGCTACATTGATGCGACAAAAGCTTACGGTGGTCAACTTGTCTCAGCAGAGTGAAAGCACTGATTTGCTTGGAGGTTTCAAGCCAGTCAATATTCGCACGATGGCCGTGCCCATGCATGATGAGTTCGTCTCTCTCTTTGAGTTGACATTCTCGGCAAAGAAGAATCAAAAATTCCTTCATTCAGTTGCCAAGAGTGTTACTGCAGGGAACTGGGCTCGCCTAGTACACCTTTGGCACGAAGCAGTTCGTTTGGCTGATGGAGTTTTCAAGTCAGGCCAGGGCTCTCAGGGCGCTGAAGAACAGCCAGCCAAGAAGAGGAAGTTAGATTCCCCCAAATATCAGCTTTTAAGACAAAGGTGGGACAGATTCGCATCACAGCTCAACGATTTTGAGTCGCAGGTATCACAAGGAGATGCAAAATTTGCCTTCGCCTTTGTTCAAGGAAAAATCGTGCGGGCACTGCGTAATGGCGAGTGGGTTCTCCTTGACGAGGTCAATCTGGCTTCGCCAGATACTCTTGAGAATATTGCCAGTCTTTTGCACCATGGTAGCGAAGGTTCACCGTCTGTCTTGCTTTCCGAAGCGGGCGATGTGGAGCGAGTTTTTGGGCATCCTGATTTCCGTATCTTTGGCGCAATGAATCCAGCGACCGATGCAGGCAAGAAGGATTTACCTCCTGGTTTGCGATCCAGGTTCACGGAGTACTATGTGCAATCACCAGACAGTGACCTGGACGACCTGCTCTCTCTGATTCAGAAGTATCTCGGCGATCTGGCATTGACCGATGCCAGGGCGGTCCCCGATCTCGGTCAGCTTTACATGGAAGCTAAAAAGCTCTGTAATGAGAACAAACTCACAGATGGTGCTGGGCAGCGTCCCCATTTCAGCATCAGAACCCTCGTCAGAGCGCTCGTTTACGTCGTCGATCACGCACATATCTACGGCTTACGCCGAGCAATTTACGAGGGTTTCTCTATGAGTTTCCTAACCGTTCTCAGTCAAGACTCGGAGAGACTGTTAGCGCCTTTGCTTGAGAAGCACATCTTTAGTAATGTCAAGAATTCTAGAGCACTGCTGGGGCAGACTCCTAAACCACCCAACGACGGAAACGACTACGTGCAGTTCAAGCATTACTGGATGCGTCGGGGTCACTTAACACCCGAAGAACAACCTCACTACATCATCACACCATTTATCGAGAAGAACCTTAAGAATCTTGTTAGAGCAAGCTCTACGCGCCGTTTCCCAGTTTTGCTACAGGGCCCGACCTCTGCTGGTAAGACTAGCATGATTGAATTCCTCGCCAAGGTATCCGGAAATCATTTCGTGCGTATCAACAATCATGAGCATACCGACCTCCAAGAGTACCTGGGAACTTACGTTTCCAGCGATGATGGCACGCTTCGCTACCAGGAAGGTGTCTTGGTAGAGGCTCTCAGAAACGGTTACTGGATTGTTCTCGATGAGTTGAATTTGGCACCATCTGACGTCCTGGAAGCACTGAACCGGCTGTTGGATGATAACCGTGAGCTCTTTATTCCAGAGACCCAAGAAGTAGTACGCCCACATCCCAATTTCATGTTGTTCGCCACACAAAACCCTGCTGGTCTTTACGGTGGTCGAAAGGTATTGTCTCGAGCCTTCCGCAATCGCTTCTTGGAGCTCCACTTCGATGACATTCCCGAAAGTGAATTGGAATACATTTTGAAGGAGCGCTCTCAGATTGCTCCCTCATTTTGTACGCGTATAGTGTCTGTGTACCGCAAACTCTCTTTACTACGCCAGGCCAATCGGCTCTTTGAACAAAAAAACAGTTTTGCCACTTTGCGTGACCTTTTTCGATGGGCGCTTCGTCGTGCTGATGATCGCGAGCAGTTGGCGATCAACGGGTTCATGTTGCTGGCCGAGCGTGTGCGCAACCCCCAGGAAAGGGCCGCAGTGAAGAGCGTGATCGAGGAGGTCATGAAAGTCCGCATTGATGAAGACGTCATTTATAGCGCCTCGGCAATGGACAAACGCGCCCCCAATCTTGCTCAGCTTGCTCCAGGGATCGTTTGGACTAAGGCGATGCGAAGACTTTTCGTTCTTGTTTCAACTGCCCTGGAAAACAATGAACCTGTTCTGCTTGTGGGTGAGACTGGGTGTGGTAAGACTCAACTATGCCAGGCAGTCGCGGAAATTTGCAAGAAGCAGCTGTACATCATCAACGCTCACGTGAATTTGGAGACGGGAGATCTCATTGGTGCCCAGAGGCCAGTCCGAAACAGGGCTTCGATAGAAAGTCAGCTACATAGTGACCTACACTCTTTGCTTGCCCAGGGTGAGCAAACAGCGTCGATCGATGATCTGAAACTGGCTTTCGGAGCTCTCAGCGCAGATCAATTGCAATTACTGGATCCTGAGCTGAGATTGCGGATTGAGAAGAATCTTGCTCGGTTGAACGCGCTGTTCGAATGGTCTGATGGAAGTTTGATTACGGCTATGAAGACGGGCCAGTTCTTCCTTCTTGATGAAATCTCACTCGCAGACGATTCTGTCTTGGAGAGGCTCAACAGTGTTTTGGAGCCTCATCGCTCCATTCTTCTTGCAGAAAAGGGTCCAATTGACTCCATGGTAGTTGCCCATGAAGGCTTCCAATTCCTGTCTACCATGAACCCTGGAGGTGATTACGGAAAGCGTGAGCTTTCTGCCGCTCTGCGCAACCGCATGACAGAAATATGGGCTCCTCAGCTATCTGAAGACGAAGATATCCTGCCGATTCTTCGGATGAAGCTCAAGTTAGAATCGGAACAGGTGCCTAAAGCAATGCTGCAATTTGCTAAGTGGTTCAAAACAACATTTCAAAACTCCACGACTTCCTCACTCTCAATCCGTGACCTTCTTGGCTGGGTCGAATTCGTCAACAGGTGCCAGGGCTCAGACCCCATGTTCGCGGTGGTGCAGGGTGCCGCAATGGTGTTCATTGATACTTTGGGCGCTAACCCGGCAGCGATTCTTGCGACAGCCTTGAATGACCTCGAAGGCAATCGCCAGTTGTGTCTAGACAAGCTAAAAGAGCTCTTTGACGTCAATGCCTCCAGCATCTACTTGCAAAAGTCAACCATTGACACCGATGGGTCTTCTCTTCGTGTTGGACCTTTCCGTCTCCCCATGAACGACAACGGTAGACCTGACCCTGAATTTATCATGGATGCACCTACAACCATCGGCAACTCAGTCAGAATCGCTCGAGGATTACAACTCGCGAAACCCATCCTTATGGAGGGAAGCCCGGGTGTCGGAAAGACTACGCTAGTTACTGCGCTTGCTAAGGCTCTTGGAAAGCCGCTCACTCGGATCAATCTCTCCGAGCAAACAGATTTGACGGATCTTTTCGGTTCTGATGTTCCGGTAGAAGGAGGGGACGTTGGCCAGTTTGCTTGGCGCGACGCACCATTCCTGCAAGCGATGCAGCGCGGTGATTGGGTTCTTCTTGATGAGATGAACTTGGCCTCGCAATCCGTTCTCGAGGGTTTGAACGCTTGCTTGGATCATCGTCAGATGGTATATGTTGCTGAACTGGATCAAACTTTCAAGAGGCACCCCGATTTCGTTCTCTTTGCTGCCCAGAACCCGCATCATCAGGGTGGTGGTCGGAAGGGTCTTCCTGCGTCCTTTGTCAACAGATTTACTGTCGTATATGCTGATAGCTTCACCGATACTGACTTGAGACAAATTTGTGCCAAGCTCTTCTCTGGCAGCCCTGCTCTCCAGACTGATCGGCTCGTTGAGTTTGTCTCTCTACTAAACAAAGCTATTCAAGAGCGGAGACTAGGCGCTCTGGGTGGCCCTTGGGAGGTTAACTTGCGAGACATCCAGAGGTGGCTTCAGTTGGCTGATCGAGGAGATCTTCAAGTGCCCGCCGTTCATTTCCTAGACGTCATTATTTCGCAGCGATTCAGAAGCGAGGAAGACCGTAATGTGGTGTCTCAGGTGTTCAAGCAGGTGTTCCGCGAGCCTTTGACGGCCGCGAAGAGCTATTACCATAATCTGACACCAGGCTATATGCAGGTTGGACTGGGTTTCATGCGGCGAGACTCGCTTCTACAACAAACTTCGGATCCACAAATGCAAATCTTCCCCAGTGACTTGCCGATCCTGGAATCGCTCATGCTATGTGTTGAACAATCCTGGCCCAGTATCTTGGTGGGTTCATCTGGTTGTGGCAAGACAACTCTTATCAGGAAACTCGCAGCGCTCAACGGAGCTAGCTTAGTTGAACTAGCATTAAGCGCCGATACAGATACCATGGACCTTGTTGGCGGATTCGAACAGATTGACTACAAGAGAGAAGTCTCATCCTTTTTGCTCGAGATCTTGCAATATCTCCAACGCCAAATCATCTCTACTTATGCCTCAAACGACACTGCCAACATATCGCCCCTCCCCCTTCAACTCTATGAAAGCCTACGAAACCCGGATGTTTCGCTGAGTGCTGTGGTCGCCTCACTAACACAGCTGTATGAGAATTTCCCTCAAGCAGCTCTTGAAGAATATGTCAATCGAGCTCAGCGTCTGTTAGCTATTTCTGAGAAGGTGGACAAGATGAAAGTCGGTTTCGAATGGACGGAGGGTGTTTTGACACAAGCGGTTCAGAACGGACAATGGGTTGTTCTTGACAACGCCAATCTTTGCAATCCATCAGTGCTTGACAGATTGAACTCGTTGACGGAGCCGAACGGAACCCTCATCCTAAATGAACAACGTACAGAGGATGGGAACGCCCGCGTTATAAGGCCGCACCCTAATTTCAGGCTCTTTTTGACTATGGATCCTCGCCATGGGGAACTCTCTAGGGCGATGCGGAACCGTTGTGTCGAAATCTCGTTCTTACCCCAGGAAAACCCAACATTCACTACCTCATCTATGCCAGCTTTCACTTGCCAGTCCTCACTGTACCGTCTTCGGTCTCTGTGGAATATTGACTCGGCCACAGCTCCTGAGGACGATAACGCTGTTTCTCTGCTTCATGAAGCATGTCTTGACCATCTTTCAATTGCAGATCTTTCATATCTTCAGCGCGTACAGGGTCTTCTTCCAATTTACTCCTCGTCTAATGCGGACGATCCCCTTCTAGCAGCTCTGCAGCGATACCTCTCCGTTATCCATGACAATCCGTCATGCAAGCCTTTCGACTGCATCAAAGCAGAATTCACCATTGGCTTTGCCTCAGTTGCTACGCAGGGCTTCTATCAACCCCTTCATCCTTTAGTGAACGAACCTCTCGCATCAATAATGCATCAAAATGCCCCTCTTGGTTGGCTTGTGGTCCTGGCACATCTCCAGGAGTCTAAACTCAGCTTGCAGGGTCTCAAGCAAGGCTTACTGCGGGCCAATGAGTCAGGAAAGCATCTCAAAGCGAGCCAAATGACTCCCTTGGAACGCTCTCTCGCCTCCGGACGCATCCCTTCTCTGATGAAAGATGCAACTCAGCCAGTGGGA